ACAAACGCAAAACCTCAAGTCAGTTATCCCACCGTATCACACCAGGGTTGATCAGGATATGCTCCTATGCTATGAAGCCCTATCTACCCTAATATTGTAAAAAAATCCTGGCTTTATGCATCTACTAGCAGTGATGGCAGTTGCATTAAATCAAGTATATATGGCATTTCTTTTATCATCACTTTCTCTTCCATTGCTGAAGCAACTGGAAGCACTCCTAAAGCTAACTCCATGGACTATGCCAGTTTTGACATCATGGAAGTTGATTCATTCCCAACCATTCATGACACTTCTTGTGGGTATGAACCTAATAATCCAGACAACTTGAAACCTCTTGCTAGAATGTAGTTTCATTTCTTGCAAAAAAACCTTCATTCTAGAGGTGAAGACCTGGATGTTATGTTTCCAAGGGATAAGTGCCTAATCTTCTGCCTTCTTAATAATATCCCTGTTAATCTGTCCGTGATTATTTTCAACCACCTAAAGGAATCAACTTTGGACTCTAGATATTCTCAAAAATCCTTCATACCCTATGAGCGTGTCCTATCTAAAGTGTTTGAATTAGCTAGGGTAATCAAAATTGTTCGAAAGGCTTAGTTCACAAGAGGAAACACTCTATTTGATGAGTGTTGTGAAGTGTTTGAAGTCTAAGACAATGTCTTTGTACTCAAAATGAATATGTATTCTTCAGGTCATGTCTTGTGTGTCAAAACATTGTACTCAATAACTTATCTTATCACCAGCTATTTATAAGAGGAAGTATTAGCATGAGATATTCTTGATGCATATCTATTTCTCAAAAAATTTGCTTACATTCCTAGATATATTTCTTTGTGATACTTTAAATGTTTTGGAACGACTAAGTCACATTTTAATAACCAGTTCTTCTAAATAAGAAAAATCAATTTTAAAGAAAGAATATCTGATATTAAATTGACGATATATAATTGATCAAAATTTTTATTAAAAGATCTCAAATGATTCTATTATGGTTTAAACGATAGGATATCAATTTCAGAAGTGTGCTTCTGCAACATGTGCTTCTGCAATGTATGTTCTATTCAGAAGTTGTGAACTATTTGAATGTGTGATATATTGGAAAATATCATGTCAAACGCTGATGCTTAAGAAGTAGTTAACTTCTCTAGAATTATAGTGTTTTGGTTGTGATATTAGAATCAAGAAATAGAAGTGCTGATACATAATGCGTGGCATTATTCAATCAGGCTCAAAATCAAGTTTTGATTCTTCATCAAGTGTTGACACTAACCAAGTTCTGAGATGAAGACCACATGTTCTAGTTATACTCTGATGAGTTGTTGTATGGAAGTGTTCCTTCTCTAATTATATGTTCTGAAAACTCAAAATTTATTTTGTGAGTCTTGGACTCAGGGGGAGACTCTAAACAAGCATAAATGAAATTTTGGGATTAACATATTCAGGGGGAGATGTAAGCTTAACTTTGAATTTGTAAATTACAGTGATTACCCTGTATAAAATTTTTCTATGAAAATACATGATTTCGTCATCATCAAAAAGGGGGAGATTGTAAGAACAATAGTGTTTCTACATCCGATCTTAAGATTTTGATGACAACTTTACATGGTATCATAAAGAACAATTGTATACTCTAATGGTTTTGTTCTAGTGTGTAGTTGCTGCTATAATGTTCTAACTCTGGTATCAAGTCGTGTGACGTCATCGGGTTCTGAATATAAACATTATTGGAAGAAAGCATGTGGTTACGTGTTACTGTTGAAGTCAAGATTCTGGAATTCATCTTATGCAACGGTTCTTAGGAACGTTAGTACAAGAGGTTATGATCGTGATTTGGTGGTTAAGCTTTGGAGGCCTTCTACAGAATTTCTTATGAGTGTTCCAAGTTCTGAACATTATGAAGACGAGGTTCTGCTGAACAAGTTATGATGATCTGAAGAAAGGCAAGTTCTTATGACCAAGTACTGAAGACTCTAAAAACAAGGTTCTGATGGGACAAGTTCTGAAGACTTCAAGACTTAGGTTCTAAGACTTAAGAGTGATTCTTTTACAAAAAGCTTCAAACATTCAAATTATCTGAAGCTTCTGAAGAATAGAAGAAGTTCAAAATGTTAGTGAGTGATGATGTACAAAAGGTACAAAAAGTGTCTGTGATCTCTACCCTATAGGGTTGCGTAAGGACAGTCCTTTCGTACTATACTGTGTACTACTCTCATTATGACCATTGGAAACAAACAACTAGATTTTCGATTACCTTTCTACCCCTTCAACAAATCTCTTTTACAAGCTATAAAAGGGAGACTTGGAAGCTGAAGAAATGTAAGAATCAACATCACAAAAATTTATCGGATTAAATCAAGCTCAAGCAAAAATACACCAAAGCATTGTGCAACTCTTTAGAGAAATCTTCTGTGTATAGTTTTATAAATATGCAAGGAGTTGTTGCTCGTATCTTGATGTAAAACACTTAGGTGTTTTTCTTTGCACTAAAACGTTTGAGTAATATGCTTATAAGAAGCAAACTGTAATACACTAAAAATACTCAACATTTGTTGATTGATTCCTTGAGTGACCGAGTAAAGGTCTAATCTCAAGAAGACTCTTGTTCCGGCTTGAGTGGATTTGCAATAAGGATTTACGGACTTATTGGGGGTGCCAATAAGGTTGATTTGACTTATTGTGGGTTGTCTGTAATTAGTTTAGTTATAGTAGATTAAGTCCTTATTGAAGGCAAATCACCTTGAAGGGTGGACTGGAGTAGTTTAGTTAACAGTGAACCAGGATAAAAATAATTGTGTTCATTTATTTTTATGTTCTAAGTTAACTTGGTATTTCATCAACGAAAAGATTTAAAATTATATTTAGCGAAACCCAATTTAAAATCCCCCTTTCTTGTGTTTCTCATACCTTCACTAGTTGGTGAGTTCACTTCTTAACAAAACCAACTAGCACTTGTCCTGGTATCTGAAGAACCCTTACCCCTAAACATCCATGAATGATAATGATCATTTCATGGAGACCACACCAGTAGAACAACCTAAACTAGCCTCACATGTATATCACAACATTTCGTCTTCAAGACCTCAATCAACCTCAACCTTAAGCTCTGATTCTGAGGAATCAGAGTTTATGCCTCTAAATATCCAACCACTTTAATCCATACCATTAAACACCACAACTTCTAAAACTCCTCAACTAGAACTTGAAATCAACCATGGTCAAACTAAACCTGAACCTACCCCTACCATTGAACCTTAACCAACATCTGAACATATTCCTGAACAAGTCATTCAAGATCAATCTAACCTTGTTTAACAAGACCATCAACCTACACCTGAACACACAATCCTAACACCACAGCCTGAAACCCAACCCGAAACTCAATCAGAACCAAAATATCTTCCACATTAGACCCCCCCCCCCCCCCCCCCCCCCCCCCCCTTAAACCTAACACTTCTACATCTATCCACTCTCACCATTCTACCCCTTCAGGAGAACAAGAAGCAATGTTAGGATCTGGCGTAATAGCTCTTAATATGAAGATAGATCCCCACCTCACACAACTGACTATATGAGCCCTCCATCTCACATCCAAGTCCTTATGGAAGAATTTTGAACTGGTATCTTTGTTAAAATTCGTGCTCTATTTGTTGAGAGGTTTCTGGAATCTGACCCTATTTCACATGCTAGCAAGTGGAATGCTCTCAGAACCTATGTGGATACAATTATGCAAAATCTGAAGAGCTTCTCTATTGAATCTATAACTTCTTCCAGTCAAGAGCAAGAAGAATTAGAGGCTAAATTAGCCTCTATTGCTGCTAACCAAGAAGTTATGGGTGCTCAGATTCAGTCAATGGTTGCTACTCAAGAAAAATGGATGCTCAACTGAAGACCGTGGTTGAAAGATAGAATGACATGGGTTTTAATATCAAGGTCGTTCTGGAGCTTCTGAAGAAACCTAGGCTTTAGAAATTATAGCCTTTTGTTTATTTCTTTACAATATCTTAAAGGGATTCCAAGAAAATGGATTTTGTTTAAAAGAAATGGAAGTGTTACTCTTAAGACATGTATGTATGTTAATTATGCGGGCTCAACTACTGATTAGAGGTCAACTACAGGATATTATACATTTTTCAGAGGAAATCTTGTAACTTAGGGTGTAACAAGCATAATGTTGTGGTCTGATCCAATGCTGAAGCTGAGTTTTGAGCCATGACATAAGGTATTTGTGAATTACTTTGGTTGAAGATTATTTTAAAAGATTTGAAGATTAAATGGGATGAATCTATGAAACTCTTTTGTGATAATAAGTCAACAATTAGTATAGCACACAATTCAGTTTAACATGACAAAACAAAACACATTAAAATGGATAGATATTTTATAAAAGAGAAGCTTGATTGCAGTTTGATTTGCATTCCTTATGTTCCTTCATACGGTCAACTTCGGGATATTTTCACCAAAGAATTGAACTATCCAACTTTTGTAAAAAATTGTGTCTAAAAATTGAAGAATATCTATTCATCAACTTGAAGGGGAGTGTTAGAAATTAAAATAATTTAATTATGTATTTCTAAGTAATTAATTAATTTTCATATTAAGTTTTATGTATTTTGATAAATTGTATTACTTTAATTCCTTTCTTGTAAATTGAACATAATTATTTATTACCCTTGTAAATTGTAATTATCATCATTGTAAATTAAGTCTTATGTTGAGAACAATGTATTTCAAGCAGATTCATAAACATTTTCTTTATGTTTTCCCACGTGTTTTACACTCAACTCTTGAGACTCTTATCCTCTCAAACATTGAATTATCTACATCAATATCCAATGACTACATTTATTTACAAATCGTTGCTCAAATCAAGTAGATTTTGAATTTCAACAGTTTGTTAAAAATGGTAAGAGAGTGATAGATAGCACATCTTTTACTACAAGTCCTCGACTAACAAAACATGCTACTCTTGATCATCATGATCCACGAGACTTGAAGTCCATCTACCTTGGTTGAGCCACCACAATGTTCACTTGGATATCTGAATCAGGACTCCTTGAAGTGTTGAACTTAGAAGAAGAAGAAGATAATGAATTCTCTAAAAGTGTTGCTTCTTCACCTTGGTGTAACGAACTAGTGGTGCTATGGAAAGATGATCTTGAACTTGCACGTCCATTTGACGTAATGCTCATGGTGGAAGCGGTCCGGTTATCTAGAGTAAGCCTAGTATAATTGATGAATGGTTGTTGTATTGGGATGGGAATATTGTAGTCTCTTTTTGTTAGCATTTGAACTACTTCTGACATTGATGGTCTAAGAGGAGGAGAAGATTGTGTACAAAGAAGTGAAACTTGAAGAGCATTTGATACCTCTTCTGCCACAAATTTTCCAAGTAGAGCAGGATCAACTGATGTTGTAATGTTGTTTGTCTTGTAATTCTTCCACACCTGATCAAGATTATGCAAGGTTATTAGATACAAAGTTCATGTGTTGAAAATAGTAAACAATAAACTATATCTATGTTTTGTTACAAGGGCATGTAAGTCTTACACAGTGGAGTACTGAATTTGAGCCTTGTGGGAAAACACTGTTCTTTTTACCACAAACAATTTCAGTAACCATCACACCAAAAGCATATACATCTGCCTTCTCTGTTAATTCTCCTTTGTTGAGACACTCTGGAGCCATATATGAGATTCTAGTGTTAAGATGAGATCTATTTTCAGCATTGCCAACAGAAAAACCAAAATCAACAATTTTTGGATTTAGAGCCTCGTCGAGTAGAATGTTGCTAGACTTGATCTCTCTGTGAATAATCTTTGTTCCAGATCCTTCATGAAGGTATGCTAAGCCCTCAGCTATCCCGCATAAGATTTGAAACCGTTTCTCCCACGGTAGAGCATTTTCTGAGGTCTTATCTGCATATCAATAAAACATATTTATCGTCTGCAACGAAGATTATCGTAACAACTAATATACTAACATTTGTCTATAAAAAAATTGGATGAGCTAGTACTTACCTAAAAGGATTTGATCAAGACTTTTATGGGGAAGAAATTCGTAAACCAAGAGGCTTTCAAGGCCATCAATGCTGCAACCCAGAAGTTTCACCACATTCTTATGTTTAATTCCGATAATCAAATTGACCTCCTTGAACAACTCGTCTGTCCACTGTCTTGTATCGAAAAACAAACGTTTGACAGCAACGATTCTTCCTGAGGGGAGTGTTCCTTTGAACACGGAACCATCTCCTCCATTTAGGCCTAATTTGTTTGCAGGATCAAAATAACTTGTCGCCCTTTCAAGCACGGCGTACCTAAAACGGTAACCAGATACGTTGGCAAAACTAGGCGACGCGCCAAAATTGTTGTTTCCTGAAGAACGATAGAAGAGAAGGTTAGATTGATTATAGCATTTAAAGATGCTGTATAGATGAACTATTACTTACTTTTTTCATGTGGTGTTGTACTCTTCTTGCTCATAAATATAACTGGAATGATAAGTAAGATGACTACCATCATTGATATTACACATGCAGCGATTATCCATACGCCGATTTGCCTTCGATCTGTAAAGAACATGATAAGAGAAAGTAAACATGATCAAAAACTATACCTACATAGTCAAGTCTTGTAATTTATGTATCCGATGAGAGGTACTCATGAGATACATAAATTATAATGATTGAATTGAAGTGATGGTTACTAGTTACTACCTCGACGAGGAAGAGGGGGAGGAATACCAGTCCAAGTATGATTCCTCACAAAGACATCGTTATAGAATTTACGCGACGAATACCTCATAAAACAACCAGTAAACAAGCTTCTACCCTCAGGACTAGGAACACATTCCAGCACTCTCTTCTCTGCTTCTCTCAAACACCTCTGGCAACTCCATTTATCCACTGTCTCCCAACACTGCGCCAATCCAAAAACACCACCCTCCTCGTCCACCGCGAACATATGTTCCCCGGCACCCTTACTCACATTCATAATCACCGCCCCAACATGTACAGCACTAACCGTCTCCCCCTTTTCCTCCGAACACGTTCTCGTATCACGCGTGAAGTCCACGCCCTCATCAAAGAAAGTATAGTTATCATAACGAAGAAAACAATCGTCGAGGTAAATTCTACCCGAAACCTTCGGGTTGCACCTGGATAATAACTGTCTTGCTTGCGTGAAACAAGTGTAGCATTGCGTTGGATTGAGATCGCGACGACATTGGCCTAACGCGTACATCGGATGCCAATTTCCAACTAATGTTTGTGCTCCCCACCCATGCTGTTTCACCTCATAGGATAAAGCATCCATTGCAACCATCAAGTTTTGCATTAACTTGTTGCCACCACCATCAGCAGGGTATTGATAAGAACCACACGTGAGACCAGCTTCGTGCACCGCAGCATCATTGTTGAAGCAAGTTATACATGACAACAACGAGGATATTATGATGATTCCACGTAAAATATTGAAATTTTGCATTTCTTCTGGTTAGGAAAAGAATGATAGGTTTTCTTTTTTCTATATTGGAGAAATGAAAATGAAGATATTGGCTATTTGGTTTCAACGAAGGGATTTTTAATCCCTTTTTGTTTTGTCAAAAGCTCATTGTGCCGGGAATGATCCACCATAGAGGTAGATTGGGAGAGACGGTTACCGGTGTTCGGGTAAATAGTTTTGTTTGTTGAATTTGTAACAGACATTATGATCTTTTTAGGTTCTTGTTATTTGCAGTTAGATAAGAGAGAAAAATGGTCGTAAAGATTATTATGATTATTTAATGGTGAAACTAATGAACTGCCTTAAATTTAATTTTATTCCTTAATTGGGTTACCGGTATATAGCAGTTACTGTTAATGCCCCGTAGCAATAGCATGCCATATTAATTAGTTATAGTTAAATAACCAATTTCATGTTTAAAATAGTCAAATAAATTGGAGTATTTTTCAATTTCAATGCATTTATTTAGGGACAATGGTGCACCAAATATGTCACTATGTTGTATTATATATAGGTTATGTGTGATATAATATAAAACGGAAGATGATTCCCTACGGATCAGAAACGACGCATTTATGCGGTCAGTGTGATATAGACTTTACTATTGAAATTAAATGGTGCAAATTTAAAATTCAATAAACATATAAAAATTATAATGTCATTTCAATGGTTGGACACTATGTTCTCAACTTGGTTTCATTTGCGTGTAAATCAAGGAATATGGTTAAAGTTCAACTCAACTAATAATTGTCATATACATGAGCTTTTGAATAAAAACTAAGCAAGTCTTTCATAGGGAAATAGGGATTACAAATCAAAACTCTCTTCACACTCATTTTATTAGTATATATGTGCATGTTCTTCATACTTTTCAAATCCAGCTGGCTGTCATCCATGTTAGCAAATAGGTCAAAAATCCTGCCCAAATGCAAAAGTTACATTCAACACAATTACTCTACAATTCTTATTTGATGTGCTAAAATGAAAAAGATGGAAAAATGTTCTTCACTTCAATATTTATAAGCTTGTCTAAAATTTTATGAAGCACTAATACAAACATGTCACCAACACTGATAAGTCGTCATCGATAATAATTTGAAAAAAAATGAATAAATTGAACATGATCACATGTGTTAGTGTCGTAACGATATCTGACATGTGTCGAACATCAGACACGTTTTGTTCAGGTGTGTCGAAACTACTGGACTAAATTTTAAAAATATTACAATTCGTAATCATCTTATTATATTTCAGTTAATAAAAAGGACACACAAGCCACAAGCTAGGATCATCAATGGATTCAATGCCAGTTGCCAGTTTGAAAATATAATAACAAGTCACCACCAACAAGCCTAACTCAATTTACAGATCAATGAAATAGTCAAGCACATACCTGCAAACATTTTCAGCTTCATAGACCTTGCTCCCGACGATACTAAGCCCACTGTAAAACATGTAGAGAAACAGCAACTTATTATAGATCAACATAGAAAACCAAATATCAAAGCCAACAAATCTTTTATTCATCAATCCAAAGATTTGACTCATGTAACGTGAATAGCAAGAAAAAAGTTACTAACCTGAATCACAATTTGAAGTTGAATTGAAGTTGCCACACATACAAACTTGTCTAATCCCATCAGAACCATACCCACAACTACCACCAGTAGCCTGACATGCACCACAAAACTCATCACTCCCTTGCACAGAATACCTCACACGAATCCCATAAGCCCAATCACCAGGCCCATCAACCTTCAACGGTGCGACACTATAAGCACTACTATAACCTTCACATTCCAGCTTACTTAGATTAATCCCTTTAATAGCCTCATATGGAACCGCGCAGCACTCCGGCGGGCCAGACCCGAAAAATGACGACGAGCCTATCTTTTTATGGCCCATCATATCCCAAGCAGGACAACCATAATACTCTTCACAGCCCATACCAGAAACATTTCTACATGGCAAGTGTTTACCAGGAAAGCCTTGAAACAATGGTGAGCTAGGAGAACATGAAATGAGCATGAAAATGTTGTCGGATGTTGGGTTCATGTAAGGGGCTCGCCATGGTTCGACTGAGAAACCGTTACCTTTGGTTCCTAGGAAGATTGTTTCGCATGTTGACATATGTGGCTCGTGAAGTGTGAGAGCTTGATATGCGTAATCGATTTGTAGGACTCTGTAGGAGCCTGAGGTTATGTGGAACATGAGAACATTGTTTATGCAGAAGAGCAAATCACGAAAGCCTGGGTGACCGCATCCGTATTGCAAGGCGAATGGGTAGTCTATAGTTATGTTTCCGCAATATGATCGACATGTGTTGTTGGAACAATGTGAAGGAATGATTAGATAGGCTAGTACTGATGATAGAATGATTATGTGATTGAATTGGAGGGTAGGGAGCAATTTGGACATTGTTGTGTTTGTCATGCGATGATGTTTTGTTTGTTTAGTTGATGAATGTGAAGATTTATTGGTGTGAGAATTGTCTTTAATTGGAGTAGCTTTATTCACATGAATGGTTACTTTGTTCAGGAATCTAGTTGAATTGTGTAAGGGTTTTCCTTCACTTTTTGTTGGAAGCTTTTGAATCATTAGTGTTTTCTTTTTCTTCTGTTTTAGTGGACACTTAGACAGCTTTTGGAATTCTGTTTCACTTTAGTGTGCTTTGTTGGGTTGATAAGGTGAATGATAGTTTGCTTTAGAATCATCTGTATATAATGTATAGTAATATTATAAAATAACAGAACATATTGTATATATAAGTGGTTGTTTTAATTATAAAGCTTGGTTTTTAACTAATTAAGGCAACAGTTCTTAAAATTAAAATTTAGAATCATATGTTTTTTAAAGTTTGGTTTTAAATTTTAAAAAATCTCATGCTTGATGCTGAAGGTTTAGTCTGATGCTTGAAGGTTAAGCCCAAACAGCTTAACCCATCAACTATCTAACTCTTAAATAACATGAACAATATTTGGATAATAAGTGGCGAGATCATGTGAGGAACACACAATGAAGCTCGCCCCATCCCTTATGTGTTGTGTCTCGTAGGACAACGTGTCAAGCCATGTGTTAAGCGAGTCCAACGAGACCCTATCAGTCAATAATTGAAGTATCCGTTTGTCTTGGAGATTGACCTCACCTCCTGCATTAAAGGATGACTCACCTCAGTCGTTTCACTAGTGAGCCAAAGCTCAAAGACCTCTGTAGCTAATTTTATAGGCATCAGAATGGTGTCTCGGCTAACTTCTGTATCAAACGACTGTGTCAGTAAATAACCAGTTAGGTAGTTGAAAAGATTCATCAATGTTTTAGAAGAGATCAGAACCTAAATCCCTATTGTGCTCAACAACACAAGCATGGTAGTATTTATGTGCTTTTTCTATGGGTGATTGTTGCATTGTTCTTAGTGATTTCTTCCCAAAAAAGTATGCTACGACTATGACAAATGCTCTAGAGAAGCTGGCACCACGTTGTTGTGTTGTTGATGTGACAATTTTGATGCAATCTTCAAGAAAAAAATAGTGAAATCCGAGCAAAATTTCAAGTTCAAAGGAATTTCAAAACACTAATGTGTTGTCAAACCATAACAATTGAATGCAATGGTAACTCTCTGATTCATTTCATTATCATAACAGCTTTATGTAAAAAGGCTATGTACATTACTTGCATCTCAAGTAATTAAATAAATAACTAACTTCAAAACTAACAGCACTGACAACAAAATTATGCAACAACCCTTCCCTACTTTGATTTGTATTACAAGAATTCAGGTAATATACTAGACAAAAATTTCATTCCTCACTTAATCCAATAAGAACTCCGCTTTAAAGTTTTTGTGAGGATATCGGTCAATTGATCTTGAGAGTTGCAATGTTTTAATTCAATCACTCCCTCCTTAGTAAAGTCTCTTAGAAAGTGAAACCTAATATCAATGTTCTTGCATCTTCCATGAATGATTGAATTTTTTGACAACTTGATTGAGAAACTGTTACCATAGAAGGTTGTTGATTCTTTCTTTTGAGTTATCTTCAAGTGAGCCAATACATTTCTTAGCCAAACTCCTTGGAAAGCATATGAAGCACCAGCTATAAACTCTGCCTCTATGGTAAATAATGTGACTATTGGTTGCTTTTTTGAGGACTACGAAATCGAACCAAAACAAATTTTGAACAGACGTTATGAAGTGATTTTTCTATCGTCACCATCACCTGCATAATATGAGTCAATCCATCCCAACAATTGCAGACCATTTTTGCCTTCATGTTTGCACAACATGCTAAGATCTAATGTGCCATGTAGGTACCTTAGGATTCTTTTAATAGTTACTGCATGCATTTCAGTATGTCTCTTGATGTATGTAGCTACTAAAAAAATTGAACAGGCCATGTTAGGACAGCTATCTAGCAAGTACATTAGACTTCCTACCATTTGCTTGTAGTGAAATTGCATTGAAGTCAGTATCATTTTATTTTTGATGTTTTATTTAAATTTGAATTGTGTGTATAATTTGATTTATCGTTTGTTTGTAATTCATTCATAATTTTATCATTTTATTAGTCATGTATTATAAGATACTCTTACATTAAATGTATTAGATTTGAACTCATGGTAATGTGTTTTTTAGACTATACAATTTAATGTAAGTCAAAATATTGAGTGTGTTAGGTGATAATATGGACTACGAACGGTCTAGAGTGGAGGGGTGAATAAACCTCCCAAGTTAAAAATTTATTTGAAAAGGTTTTATCAAAGTTTCTGAAACCGTGTTTATTTTGCATGGCGGAAGCAAAATTAACGTAAAATAAATTATGTTTATCGATTGGAAGTTACATGAATATATTTAATCAACTTACAACACAATCAAGTTGGACTATTGGATTACTCCAAATCAACAAACTAATTTTATTGACTAATTGAACAATTACACGAGAAATGTTATTCTACAATTTGAAACACGAGTAAGATTCTACAACCAC